AGGCGACACTAAATACTGACCTCCTCCTCTACATCTTTCGGTATCCGGAACTTGTATAACACTTGGTGCCACATGCCAACGTTTTTCAGTGTGACGTAGTAGGAGCCCGAGGCACCGTCGCCAACGCCCTCGACGACCTCGTTGGGCGACAGCAGACCGCCAGAATCCGAGCACTGTTCGGAGGGGAAGCTAGGGATGCTGTCGCTCGAGTTCCCGCAGAAGAAAGGCCGTCTGGGTGTCGCCCCCAACATGAAGCTGAAAGGAATGAAGAGAGACTTAAAATTTTTGGATTACTTGCCTTTGATTCTTTCAGTCAGTGTCCCTTTTCCCTTTCGTTGTTATTGTTCCTCGTTCCTCTTTTTCTTCCTTTTCTCCTCACATCCTCCCTTTTCCTTTTCGTTCTTTTCCTTCCTCCACATCTTCATTGTGTTAGTCCTAGCACTTGTCCTCAATATATAGGATAATATAATCCTTAAATATAATACATATCGTGCTTAAATGTGTCCATAGCCTTACCTAAACTGTAACGTGAGGTTGGTGTGTGGCATGAACCTGGAAATGGGGAGCATGTACGTGTAATTGGTGGCGTTGTTCATCAAGCAATCCTGATAGAACTCGGAGGAATTGAAGCAGTACAGGTGGTTGATGCTTGTGTTCAATTCGACGATCATTACGGTGGGGATCTGTATGTTTACCCCTGCGAAGAGAGAAAAAAATGTTTACATTATTCTTATTGAGTCTTCATTCGCCAGAAGTGACAGCTATATGATCATGCGACGTGGAAACAAGATAAAATATTCAATATTTACTTTTATCGATCATTCTAACGATATCAACGAGATAAAAATGAAAGCTCGAAAACTCACTTGTCTGCGGCTTGAAATGGTCCCTGGTGCTTGCAGTGGACCTCTTGGTGTGGATGGAACGTTTGCTGAGAGTCTGCTTGATGCTACGGTAGGTGGATGGGCGACTCATGCGTGGTTGGAAACGCGAAAGCCTGGAGTACTGATCCAAGGATGTAGACTTCTTGCTTGGAACAGGCTGGAGGGTAAAGTTGAAAGGTATTAGTGTGTAACACGAAATATGAGTTTCCACAGAATGTTTTCGTACCATCAATCACATCTACAAAACACCTTTATCTCATCAACGGTCAAATTACCTTGAGTCGCTGTGTCTCTGCCTGTGTAGTAGAGTCATTAACAGTGTTGGGGTCGCTGGTGGAAAGCTTATTGGTGATGAGTTCGCTGTACCGACTCATGGTGGGCAGAACCGTCGTTGTGCCTGAAAGCCATGCGATGAAATGCATCAGTTAACTACGTTCGATATTTTCTTAATGATATTCTCCTAAAAATGAGTCTTTTAAGCAAATTTGTAAATCTTAAATTGTCAGTTCCCATTACTATGATTATATTACATTTCGATCTATCATACGAAGCAGCATCACTGTCTTCCATTAAAAACTAACCATGCGGGCGCCGTCGTGTGATGGTGATGGGGCTCACTGTCGTGGGGCTCGGACCAAGCATCGGTTCATCCACAGGGCAGCAGAATACCTACAAGAACACGATTTATAATATTCCTTTTCTTTTAAATCGTAGATGAAGTCTCTCCAAAACTATCCAGTAAATTCTGTAATTCCACTACAGGATATTAAACTTCAGAAAATAAAACTATGTCCACGAATTCACGTATGAGCTGCCTACCTGGCACGTCGGCCCATCGTCGTAACACCCGTCCGGCTTGCCGATGACGGGCGGCAGCGGGTAGACCGGCATACTCGTGGTGGTCGTCGTGGAAAGCTTCGTGAACCAGGTGGAGGCAAGGGACCCGTCTTCTGTCGAAGTAGTCCTCGTTGTGGAGGGAGGCCGGTACGATGGAGTTATCATGGAGGACGACAGGAAAATGGGCGTACTCGTAGTCGTGCTGCGAAGAGAAGAAAAAAAATAACAAGGGTGTCATTTCAAAACGTGATCATCAACGATTTACGGTGAAAGGAAATAAGTTCAATTACAACAGTCTCGGGATCGAACGGCTAACAGGCTCCACTTACGGGGTCGGGGCGGACGTCGTACTCTTCCGGCGGTCTTGGTAGTCCAGGATGAAGATCGTCGCCATGGCCATTAAACTAAAAAAAAAAAAAAAACACCGATGAACCACGGTATATAATCACACACTACCATAGCTATATCAACCATCGAAGAACAATAGGGCCTCTCCCACCAATAAGAAAACAGAGAAGGAAAAAAAGTAAATCAAATATAAGCTATTCTCTGACCCACTCACCACAAAGCCATAATGCACACGAGGGTGATTGTGGTGACCTGCAAGGACTTGTTGTTGCAGAATCCGTCATCATGGCCGCCTCCTAGGTGCTTGTGCCGCCGTCGGGAGCAACCTCGTCCCCGCTGACTTACTGAGGACACGCGCGAGGTAGCTTTGAGGAGGAGGGAAAGTAGGATTATAATTCTGGTATTCTGATTCTCCTGGTGGTTTATCGTGGACTGGTTGGGAAGTTTTCTGATGGCGGAAATACTGATGACTGTGGTAATTAAATGATGGAAATTTTCATTGCAATATTCGATGATAATAATGCTTGGCTAATAATGCTAGTGCTAATGCCAGTGTTATTGGTTTTGCTTATGTTAATGTTTTGGTAATGCTTATAAAGCTTATAAACATAATGACAATAACAACAATAATAATTTCATGATAATGAACTGATAATAACAATTATCTTATTATCTTAAGAAATTAAGCACTACTACTAATAATAGTAAGAATAAATAGCCTGAACAACATTATTAAGATAACCACATGATAAGAACGAAGAAAAAAGCAAAATGAAAACACAAAACGCAAGAGAACAACGGACGGACGAGATGCGCACCAGAGGTTCGCGTGGAGATGGAGGAGGTGGTCGACTTGAACGATTCGAACCGCCGAAGTTGCGAGATCTTCTGGTTCATTCTCTCGAGCTCGCCGATGCGGTTCTCCAGGTTGCCGGTCACTTTGCAGAGTTCCTTCACGGCGCCGACGTTTTCCATGAAGATCCGTTCCTGGGGTGGAAAGGGGAAAATGGTGTTTTCACTGGATGGCCTTTTCTCTCCGTAAATTCCTGCAAGCTTGTTTATATTTAACGCCAGTCGTATTTTTTTTTCTATTTCTTGTTGCCTGTCTTCTGTGTGTCTGTTTCTCTCTTACTCTTTGTTTATTAGTTTTGCGCGCGCGCGTGTGTGTGTGTGTGTGTGTGTGTGTGTGTGTGTGTGTGTGTGTGTGTGTGTGTGTGTGTGTGTGTGTGTGTGTGTGTGTGTGTGTGTCTGCGTGTGCGTGTAAGTGATTCCGGTTAAAAAATGTCTCTCAATGTAAAAAACATGAATGTGCATTTGCTTTAAAAAATGGCATTAATCTTCACTGAACAACACTTTTACTCTAAAACACAACTGATGTAGAATGAATGATTAACATGATCTGACACAAAACGTGTGTACACACACACACACATATATTTATATATATATAATCAACAGGAGCGACCTCTCTGAAAAGAAAACAAATAAAAGTCAAATGAAACGCACCTTATTGACCAAGAGAAAGTTGTCGATCTTCTCGCCGTTGGAAAGTGTGACGTCACCTGTTGTTTTTACGGCGTCGGGTATGACCTCTTTCACCTGGTACGGAAAAAAAAACCATGGAATGTCAACCGTGAAAATTAAATGATGGCGTGACAGATACATAGATTAGACTGATTGACAGAGACATAGATAGATGGGTGGGTAGGTAGGGACTGAGGGAGGAAAGGAGGAAGGGAGGGGGAGAGAGTGGGAGGTAAGGAGGGAGGGAGGGGGAGGGAGAGGGAGGGTGGGAGGGAGGGAGAGGGAGGGAGGGAGAGGGAGGGAGGGAGGGAGGGAGGGAGGGAGAGGGAGAGAGGGAGAGAGGGAGAGAGAGAGAGAGAGAGAGAGAGAGAGAGAGAGAGAGAGAGAGAGAGAGAGAGAGAAAGGGAGAGGGAGAGGGAGATAGAAAGAGAGAAAAAGAGAAAGAGAGAGAGAGAGGGAAGGAGAGAGGGAGAGAGGGAGAGAGGGAGAGAGGGAGAGAGGGAGAGAGGGAGAGAGAGAGAGAGAGAGAGAGAGAGAGAGAGAGAGAGAGAGAGAGAGAGAGAGAGAGAGAGAGAGAGAGAGAGAGAGAGAGAGGGAGAGAGAGAGAGAGAGGGAGAGAGAGAGAGAGAGGGAGAGAGAGAGAGAGAGAGAGAGAGAGAGAGAGAGAGAGAGAGAGAGAGAGAGAGAGAGAGAGAGAGAGAGATAAAACTTAAATAATGCTTAAATAATTATACTTTATTAGAATGGATGAAACGGAAACTACATCTTGTGAATGTAGGAATGAAGAGGTAGAACAAAACAAATAAAAAGAAAACAAGACAGGACAGCGGAATGAGAGATAAGGCACAATAAGAAAGGAATGTGGAAGAAGACGCAATAAAGAAGAAATGTGAGACAAAGCAAAGCAAAAGAAGACATTCAACAAGGAAAGAATATACGAAAAAAATACAACAAAACTGCATTTCAATACGAGGAAATAAGTCAGAGCATAAACACACAACCAAAGAAAGAAAGAAAGAAAGAAGAAAAAAGAACAAGAAGAAACTCTTTGCCAAATAAAAAAGAGAATGAACAAAGATGAAGACCAACTGACCTCCTGCGCAATCACACCCGTGTCGTAGACGTCATCTCCCCTCATCCCGACCTGCTCCGCGAATTCTTCCTTGTACGCGTATTTCACCACACGGAGGTTCTGCACGTTCTTCAGCTGTTCCTTTGTGTCCACCTGGAGAAGGGCAACGTCGAGTGTTAGTAGGCTGTGGAGGTCATTGTTTTGTTATGTGTATATATATGTTTTTTTCTATTTCTCTATCTGTTGCTGTCTCTTGTTTTTTTACCTGTGTCTTTATTTTTATTTTTATTTTTTGTCTTGGTTTGTCTTTCTTAGGTTCTCTTACGTTCTCTCTCACTCACTCACTCACTCTCTCTTATTCACTCACTCACTCACACACTCACTCTCTCACTCACTCACTCTTCTTCCGTCTTCTTCATCCCTTCTCTTTCTCTTTTCCATCTCCTTCTCCTGCATTTGCATCTACATCTACATTTGTATCTGAATCTGCTTCTCCATCTCCATCTCCCTACCCCCACTTCTACACCGTCTCTCACCTCAGCAACATCCTTCTTGGCCCGTTTGTCAGAAGGCTGCAGGAACTGGCCGGTGATCTTGAGGTTTCCGTGTATGACCAGGGCTTCGTCAGGTCGATCCGTGTTCACACCCACGCGTCCCATGTGGTAGATGGATTCTGGCAACGTCCCGCGCTGGAAAGTGTATTCCACGTCGCTCTCGAATTGCCCGGGGTTGGAGGCCTACAAAAAGAAGAAAAAAAATGGTGATAGGGTGTGAAGATATCTATTGCGTAAGGATGTGAGAATGCTTTTAGTGCTTGTCACATATTCTATTTTTTATCTTATTCCTTGCAGTTTTCTAACACTGCTCCCTGTCTTACACACCAGCCTACACGATCCCTTACCCTGACAATGATCTTCTCGGACGCATGCGCGGCGATGGTGTAGGCGTTGTCCCCGCAGTGGGCCTTCAGCGCCACAACCAGGTAGAAATAGCGCTGGTCGGGATTCGGCTTCCCCTTCTTCCTCATGTTGTTGCTCGTGGTCTCGGAGAAGTGGAGGCGCCCTACCGTGATCTTGCTCATGTGGTCTTGCTTGAGGTCCACCCTATAAGAACAAGAACGGATCTTTAAGCAGGAGGTCGATACAATTTTGGGAGAAGTTTAGGAGAGTGTGGCCATATCTATTGCATATATTTTATTTACAAGTAACACATTTCTATCAGTCTCTGATTTTCCTCACAATATTATTCATGATACATATAAGCAGTAACAATCTAGAGTAAAAAGTTGCTATTATAATCATATGAAGAATACTGATCCGCTGCTTACGGGACGGGATGGAAGGCCTTCTTGCTGCGGTCACTCTGGCTCTGCTCAACGCGGATACTCTGTGACGGAGATTCGGTCTTGACGCCGAAGAAGTGGACAAAGAATTGGTCGATCTTCTGCAAGCCGTCGGGGCTCTTGACGAAAACGGGTTCTCCCCCAGAAACCTTTTGGAGGAATGGCGTAGTTTAAGATACTGATGCTTATTGACAAATATTCATATTATTTCTGATTAGTAGGAATCAGTGTATCAAATTCAATCCCTAGTATAAACTGACCTGGACGTGGACGGTGACTTGGAAGTGATTCTTCTTCTGACAAACGAAAGCTTCATCCGGGTTGGAGAAGTTGAAACCTTTGTCAGCATCCACCCGGAATGTCGTCAGCGGTCTGGCAAGTGAGAAAAACGCGTCAGTCCATAATTTACACAAACAATAATACTACTAATGATAAATCAATCAATCGAATCTAGTCTGCCACTGTTAAAATACCACACATTGAATAAGACGAATAATTCGAATCTTACATTTCCTTGAGTCCGGCATCACACATGAGGCTCCATGAATGCTGCTGGAAGTTCTGGAACCGGATGCACTGATAGGATCCATCAAGGAAAGGCCCGCCGGAGGAGTCCATGGTGTACTCATCCTCCTCAGTGTAGGAGGTGACGGCCACGTTAGGACCCAGGTGGCTGGTAACTCCTACTTGGTCTGTGGGTCGTGGTGAGAGGTTAGTCGAGGGTACAGTGTGTTTAGGCGGGGAAGGAGTGGTGAGAGTTCCCAAGTGGCAGAGGGTGCAACTAAGGGGATGAAAAGTGTGAGAAAAAAGTGCATACAGGCAGTATTCTGTAAGGAGGTAACCAGGATTTGGACCGACAGATGGTTACCAAGGTGCTGGAAGAGTTTTGCAAGACCTTGTGAATATAAACGACAACCTATGTTCACTGCCAGGACAGATGGTTTTGGAAGAGCGACTGTCAGATAGCTAGATGGGAAGTAACTGCTGCTGAGCTGATGCTGCTGAGCTGACAAGGGAAGTGTCAAAAATGTCTGTCGGTCATCTTCATGGATATTATCTAAAAAAATAGAATATATATCGACGGAATATTGTCACATTATAATAATAATCTGTAGATTTGATCTGACACAGTTTCATCATAAGTATATTCTATAGCAAGAGAAACAGTAATATCAAAGGATATACTTCCAAAAACGAAAGAAAAGATCAAGGAACCTTAATTTCGAAGAAAAAATGCCTGTGTACTAGTAAGCCACAAGGAAGAATATTCCAATTAGTACCGGAAGGCGAGGCGTCATCACGCGCGAATACCGCTATTACTGTGACGAACGGTCCGAAACCGCCACCTTCCTGTCGAGTCCTCGTGAGCGAGCGGCTATTTCGGTGAACGGCGGGAAATGAGCGCGAACGTACTTTACAATGCATATGCAGAGAATAGTAATTACACCCATAAGCACCTGTCCTCGGGTTACTTTATCATGTATAACGTAATC